CCACAACACCCGGCTATTTTTTGGTTGCAGCCGTCATTGTTGTTTGGCGGGTCCTGGCTGGATTCGAACCCGCCACCTTAGGTGTATGTGGCTGGTGCCTTAGCCACTTGAGCCACAGGCGCCGAGCCGAGAATGAATCTCTTGACCACAATTTGGAAAAAAATATGGCAGAAGGTGGTGAGGGTGGTGGACATGTCCCCATCCTCACAGACACAGGCAGGAAGAGTCTTTGGTAAAGAAGCACACAAATTTATCTGTATGTCCCTGTATCCGCATAAGAGGGACATATCAAGGGGTGTCCCCCACCTTGCTTGATCTTTCAGCAGCCTTCAATACAGGTGACCATGTCTTCCTTGAACAACCTTCTCTTGGCTTCCATGGTGCCACTTTGGTTTCTCTCCTGCATCACTAGACACACCTCAGTCTGTTCATGGTCCTTGTTTATTATTATTTTTTTTTTCTTTTTGCAGTTTTTGGCCAGGGCTGGGTTTGAACCCACCACCTCCAGCAAATGGAGCCGGCGCCCTACTCCTTTGAGCCATAGGCACTGCCCGACATTTATTATTATTTTTTAGAGATGGGGGGTCTCCCTCTGTTGCCCAAGTTGGAAAGCAATGGCTTAATCACAGATCACTGTAGTCTCAAACTCCTGGGCTCAAGTGATTCTCCTGCCTCAGTACTCTGAGTAGCTGGAACAACAAGCATGTGCCACTATGCCTAGTTTTTTTCTGGCCTTTATGTTCCCCCTGAACTGTTCAGGTTGGACAGGCCCAGTCCTCCACTCTGGCAGCACTCCTACAATCCCCATGGCATAAATACCATCCATGTGCTCACGACACCTACATTTATTAGCCTTCACCTGTCCTTACACTCCAGACTTAGGTATCCCATTGTCTGCTTACCATCCTCACTTGGATGTCCTACAAGCACCTCAAAATTAACTTTTGTAGTTCTTTTGACTAGTCCCATTTTCCCAACTCTGCCTGTCCAGTCTCCCCAATCAAAATTATATTTGGCTTGGAGTCTATAGCTCAAGCAGCTAAGGCACCAGCCACATATACCAGAACTGGTGGGTTTGAATCCAGCCCAGGCCTGCCAAACAACAATGACAGCTACAACCAAAAAATGGCTACTTCGGAGGTTGAAGCAAGAGAATCACTTAAGCCCCAGAGTTGGAGGTTGCTGTGAGCTGTGATGCCAAGGCACTCTACCCAGGGTGACAGCTTGAAGCTCTGGCTCAAAACAAACAAACAGAAAACCAAACTGATACCACTGTTCGCCCACTGGCTCACACACTGATTCTTCTCTGTCTTTAACCTTGACACCCAATCCACTGGCAAAGTCCTACCCATTCTTTCTCCAAAATATGTCTGTGATTCATCCATTTCTTTTCACTCACAGCAACCTCACCTATCCCTTACCTTGGCTAACCACCTAGTGTCTTTCACCTGAACCAACAGCCCAATCTCTACCACTACTCCTCCCCCACCTTACCCTCTGCTTAGCACTTGGTCCTCTGTGAAGTCAATAGTTCATTATCTTACTTATTATCCAAATGCCACCAACACAATGGAAGCATATTAACAGCATAGCCCTGATCTCTCTTGTTGCCCCAGCACATGACACTGTGCCTGGCACCTGACAGGTAGCCATCAATATTCATTTAGTCAGTGGATGGGAGCCTCTTCTGGTGGGTGGGTGGGAGCAGATACCTGATATTGCAGGAAAGTCACTGTGTCCTCGGTCAGCAACAGCTGGTAGGCTTCCTGGATAGACAGTGGCAGGTCTTGGTAGAAGAGCTGTAGAGAGCCCTGAAAGTGGGGCCAGCAACTCAGCTTGTGAACCCTCGATGCAGTGCAACAATCAAATAGGGACACTTCCAGCTCTGACATCTCAACCCTCCACCTCCTAGCATCCAGGCAAGAATATGACCAACCAAAAAAGTGAGGCAGCATCACTAATTTGCACTGGAATCCCTGCTCCCTGCAGGGTATTGTCTACTGCTCTAAAAGTCCAGTTGTAAATTCTCTGAAAACGCACTTATGAATACTTTTTCTACAATAAAAACGTGTTCTTTCCGTTCCTTGGTCCCAACCCTTTGCCCACCCTCTTGGGGCCCCACTCACACACTCCAGCAGATACAAGGCCTCTTCGGGGTAAAGCCGCTGCCGGCCCTGCTCTGAGAAGCCCATGGTCTGCCAGAATTTACCCTGCGTAGGATCCAGAGCAAGAGTCACAAAGGAGATAGGCGTGCAGAGAAAGCAGGTTCCCTATCTCTGAGCCCCGCCGCTCACCGCAGGAGACTTCAACTCCACGAAACCCTCTTCTGGCCTCCACTCAGCCGCCACCAAGCTGCCCCTGGCGAGGAGTGGGAAGGCGTCAGTCTCAGACGGTCCGTCCAGCCCGCCCGGACCCGCCCCCAACCCCGGGACCGCCCCTCTCACAGGCGCTCCACGCGCTCCTCAGCCAGCAGCTGCCAGAGCTCTTCGCGGCTCTGGCGCAGCCGCTCAGCCTGGGCTGCCGAGCCGTCGGGGAGGAAGTCCTTGGCGCCATGCGAGCGATGAGGCAGCTTCTGGGGCCGCGAGCGGGCAGCGAGGAGCTCCCGGGCGCTATGGGAGAGGGGGAAACAGGGTCAGCAAGGCGCATCGGTGCCACCCTGCCCGATCCTGGATCCGCATCCCTCTACCCGGCTCTCCCAGCCCACGCTGCCCCGGGGCCGCGCCACACCTGAGCACGCGCCCGGCGGGAAGCTCCAGTACCGGCGGCTGGGGTTCGGGTTCCATCTGGTCGCGGAGTGCGGCTGCGCGTGCGCCACCCAAGCACCGCCCACCTTCAGATTCCGCGCGGCCCTAGTGCCAGCGGATCTGTCCCGGGGTCCTGCGGTTTCCCGACCCACCCACTGGCTCTCTGCCCTCCTAGCTGTCCTGGGTCCTAGCACCGCTACCTACGTGTGCCTCGATTCTGGAGACCTGGGAGCTAATTTGCAGATTTCTCCATATGCAGAGCTTCCTCTCCTGCCCCCAGTCCTTACTTGGACTCCTCTCTAAAACTTGAACGTCTGTGTCAAATGTGTGACCGTCCCCTGCTTAGTTCCACCATCAGGGCTGGGCAAGGAGAGAAGAGGGGCTCAGAGAAAGGAAAGCAGAGGGTTCTCAAATTCCAGCTTTGCAAACTTAAGGCCGCCCGGGGGCTGTTAAGAGTGGTCCCAGGATATTCGGAGTTCCTTCAGGGTCTTTGGTCAGGTTCCTTCGGAGTGACTCCGAGGACCCGTTTAGAGGGCCGGCGATGGGAGGCGCTGTCCGGCCTACAACGGTGCTGAAGCGTCACCTCAGCCCTCCGATAGCACCTCCTCGAGGCTGGGGTCCCCTTCGCCGCTACCGCGAGCTGCTCCGACTCTGTCCGCTAGGTGGTACCATTGCTCCGGCCAGCGGCTCTGGGTTCTCCACTCTGGCCTCCGGCGGAGGTCGCGGCTAGAGTCCCGGGAATAACGAAGGGCAAAGAGGAAGGGGGTTATCTGAGTGGGGGCCCCGGATCTTGATTGCCAAATTCCTTCACATCACGTCTTCGCTCCCACCCAGTTACATCCAGGGTATCTCGCCTTTGGGTCTGGACTCCACAACCCCAGGTCGTTTTAGCTCCCCAACCTGGACACATAGGGTAAACTCTTAACCCCTCGCCCGCGGTTTCACCTGGGCGCATGCGCAGATCCAGCGGGTGCCCCCGAAGTCTGGACGGCGAATGGGGCGGAGCCTGGCGCGTGGGGGCGGAGCCTCTGGCGTTGACTGACAGCCCGACTGCGCGGTCCGGACAGTCCCTCCTCTCCCGATCCGGCGGGAGGGACGGGGGAGGGGCGGGATTTCCTGCGGGAGGCGCCGAGCCGGCCTTGGGAAAGGAGAAGGAGAGAGGGGGTGGGGGGCCGTGAGAGTCTCAGTCCTGAGTGCCAGGGACCGAGCACGGCCAGCCGGACCCCCGGCGGGGCGGCCGAGAGAGGTGAGACTGCGGGGCCTGAACTGGGGGTCAGCACCCTTGAGGGCCGGCACAAACTAACTTTTCTTGCGGGATCGGCAGGCGCCTCCATCGCTCAGCTCCCTCCGTCCTCCTCGCGCCCCCTTTTTCCTTCCTCTGCATCTATACCTCCGACGCTTTAGCCTTCCCGGTTCCTCTTGCCGCTTTGTTCACGGGTCGGCCTGGGCTGGGCTGGGCTGTGATGGGGGTGCGCGGCGCTGTAGGGGCATTCCGGGGGGCGGGGGAGTCAGTCCGACCCCAGGCCCTGCGAGGGGCTCCCTCCCTGGTGTCGGCCGCAGGCCATAAGGGGGAGTGCTCTGTGGGTTGAGGTTGGGACGTTTTGGGAGTGAGGGGTTCCCAGCCAGGGCCCCAGGCCTGTATGGGTCTCATGCCACAGGACTCTGGCAACAAATTCGCAGCCACTGAGAAACTGACGTAAGCTTCTCTGCAGTGAAGTGGAGGGTCTGTCTGGGCTTCAGGTTCGGGGTTGGGGGCCCTGGGAACCCTTTTTGTCAGCAGTGCTCCAGCTCTTTTCTCTGTTCTTTGCCCAGCTGCTCCTCCACCCCACTCAAGGGGTGAGGATGGGTCAGGAACAGGTGTTGTAAACTGTCCCTCTCCAGCAAGCAGACTGCCGCGGAAATGGGGAGCTATAAGCTCCCCACTCCGTGCCCTCAATCATGAAAAGCCCTAGAGCTAGGGCATCCTGCTAGTAAAGCCGGGATAGGAAGTCTGTGGGGGCAGGTGCCTTTGACAGGGAGTGACCCCTGCCCGCCAGCCCGTGCCTCGCCCTCCGAGGCCCCACCTCCTGGCTCTCCAGTTGTCTGTGGGTGTTGAAGCCTGGGGCTGTGGAGAACAGGCTGCTGGCCTGGCCTGCCCTAGTGTGTCGTGCTGCCAGGGCCCCTCCTGCCCAAGGTGGAGGTGCTGCCAGGTGCCCCCAGGCCCTGGTGACTCAGCCTCCCCCTCCCGGAATGCCACCTACCCTCTCCACATACTCCTCTCTGCCTGACCGCTTCCCCCTTTGAGTGGCTCAGCCCCTCCGTTGACTGCAGGGTCAGCCAGGGTGACTTGGGGCCTCCCTTGAAGTTCTGTCCTGCTCATCCTGTGCATCCTGCTTCTGGGACCCTTGCAGACTGTGGCCCATCCTTCAACAGAGGCACTGCACCTTTTCCAGACCATTGAGACCTGTCTACCATGGCTGCCTGAGGCCCAAAGGAATGCTGGCTGCTCTCTGGGTGGGCATTCGTGCTCCCCAGCCAAGCTGGGAAGATTGGCGTGCCCAGTCCCAGCCTATCCTGGAGCTGTCAGAAGCTGCAAGCTGATCTGCCCAGATTTCCACGAAGCCTCCGCCCACTGAGAGACTGGCTTTCCTGCTTGTGGTAGCTGCTCAGGGAGCATCTTGAGGAATATCCATGAGCACCTGACAAGGACCCCATTGCCTGGGACACCAGACGTGCTCTCCTAGCACCAGGAGCTGAGGCATGGCACCCTGACGCCTCAGCTTGGACCAGTTTGCCTGTGTCTGCCCTGGACTCAACCCAGAGCCTGGCCCAGAGGCCAGGATGGGTCGTGAACAGGACCTGATACTCGCTGTCAAGAATGGAGATGTAACTGGTGTGCAAAAACTGGTGGCTAAGGTCAAGGCTGCAAAAACAAGTGAGTACTTGGTGGGGTGACCTTCAGCGGAGGCTCTTCCTCTGAGTGCTCAGGCCACAGAGGCCTGGGGGGTGGGGGGAGTCATTGTGATTTGCATACTTAAGGAGGGAAGTCTGTCTTGGTCTGGACAATAAGTGCCCCTGTGTGAGAGCCAGAAAGAAAGTGGTTGGGTCCCCTTACTGTGTGTCCTTAGGCAAGTTACTTAACCTCTCTGGGCTGCAGTTTCCTTGCCTGCTGAGTGGGAGGGTTTAAGTACATTCATTCACATTTTTACTGAGTGCCTATTTTGTGTCAGGCTATTCTAAGCACTGTTCCATAGCAATGAACAAAATAGACCACAATTCCTGCTCTCGTGGACTTCCCTTGAGGCAGGTGTCTTTGCATGTGTGTTCTATGTAGCCATAGGGTTTCTGCCAATGGGTGGAAAGACCAAATAGATAGACCGCCATCCTCACCCCCAGCAGCGTACACACGTACTTCAATCACAGTATTTTCTGCATTTACATCTTTTTTTTTTTTTTTTTTTTTTTGAGACGGAGCCTCAAGCTATCCCCCTGGGTAGAGTGCCATGGCATCACACTCACAGCAACCTCCAACTCCTGGGCTCAAGTGAGTCTCCTGCCTCAGCCTCCCAAGTAGCTGGGACTACAGGCACCCGCCACAGCGCCTGGCCATTTTTTGGTTGCAGCCATCGTTGTTTGGCGGGCCGGGGCTGGGGATTCAAACCCACCACCTTAGGTGTATGTGGCTGGCGCCTTAGCCGCTTGAGCCACAGGCACCGAGCCTGCATTTACATCTTAACCTAACAAGTTGTCAGTAAGATACCTTGTAAAAAACAGATTTGCTTCTTTTTTTTTTTTTGGCAGTTTTTGGCAGGGGCTGGGTTTGAACCCGCCACTTCCGGCATATGGGGCTGGCGCCCTACTCCTTTGAGCCACAGGCGCTGCCCAACGGGTCTGCTTTTAAGAAAAGTGCACACTATCTACTTGCTGAAACCCCATTTCCCTGACTGATCTGTGTTCCATGGGGGTATGTGGCTAATTTTCTGGAGGTTTCCACACAGCCTATGGGCTATAGTCCTAACAGGGCTGTGGAGGCTCCCTGCTAGGTGGCTATACTTGAGCACCATCTCTCAGGTCCCTCTGTGGTGAGATCCCCAAGAATAGATCTCTGGGTTATCTTATTTCCTTGAGATCCCAGACCAGCAGGGCAGGGAAGTGGTTCCTGCCATCAGACTGAGGCTGGAGGAGGAATTCCGTGGATGAAAGGACAGTCTTCTCTGGAGTGCTAGAGCTCTAGCCCAAGACACACTTTGGCCCTGTTCATAGGAAGGAGCCCCCCAGGGGGAAGACCTTTTTTTTTCCCCACCTGCACCTAGGGGTGTGGCATGCTGGAAGGATTTTTGTCACCAAGGTGGGAGACCCAGGACACGGAGACATGGAACTGTAGGGGATGGCCTCTGTGTCCTGGGGAAATGGACACCAGGAAAGGTACTGAGAAGGTCCCAGGGGAGTAGGAGCCACTCCCACTCCCCCATCTTGGTGTTGTTTTTGGCACCCTGCCCAGTGGGGCCTTGGTCAGGCTGCTGCTGGCCTCTCAGCCCTTGGGCTTCAAAGTGAGGCACTCAGGAGGGCAGGCAGCATGGACCTGAAGGCTAGTGTTGGAAACCTCATAGGTGGACTCCTGGGCTCATTGTGCAATGGGAAATGTCTATGGGAGAAGAAGTCCCTTCCCTCAGTCACAAAGGGGAAAATTTACCCTGTACAAGTGCACACAGCGTGACTAGGGCTTGGCACTATGCCTCTCCTTCTAGTCCTCTGAGGAGCTGGAGAAGCTTGTAACAAAAGATCACAAGGTGGGCCGGGTGCCCATAGCTCAATGGTTAGGGTACCAGCCACATGCTCTGGTGCTGGTGGTTTAAACCCAGCCGAGGCCTGCTAAACAAACAAAGTAGCTGGGCATTGTGGTGGGCACCTAAGTTCCAGCTACTCGAGAGGCTGAGGTAAGAGAATCACTTGAACCCAAGAGTTTGAGGTTGCCGTGAGCTATGGTGGCATTCTACCGAGGGTAACAAAATGAGACTCTGTCTCAATTTTAAAAAAAAAAGATCATAAGGTAGCATTTGCAAACCTTACAGTTTATGGAATACTATCTCCTCACTTCCCTATTAGATAGGTATTTCTCTATCTGTTCTATAGATACGGAAAGTGATGATCAGAGAGGGTTAGTAACTTGCCAAAGGTCACATGGCCATTGTGTGGCAGATCAGAGGCAAAGCTCTGCCTTGTGCTGCACACTTGGCTGCTCCCCAAATTACCTAGGGATTACCCAAATTACTGCCCAAATTACCAGGGATTTTTTTTTTTTAAGAGACACCGTCTTGGTTCGGTGCCTGTGGCTCAAGCGGCTAAGGCGCCAGCCACATACACCTAAGGTGGCGGGTTCGAATCCAGCCTGGGCCCGCCAAACAACAATAATGGCTGCAACCAAAAAATAGCTGGGCATTGTGGCGGGCACCTGTACTCCCAGCTCCTTGGGAGGCTGAGACAGGAGACTCACTTGAGCCCAGGAGTTGGAGGTTGCTGTGAGCAGCGAAGCCATGGCACTCTACCCAGGGGGACAGCTTGAGGCTCTGTCTCAAAAAAAAAAAAAAAAAAAAGACATGGTCTTGCTGTGATGCCCAGGCTGGTCTTGAACTCCTAGGCTCAAGTGATCCTCCCACTTCAGCTTTGCAAGAAATTGGGACTGCAGGTGCTCACTGCTGTACTCACCTAGGAGTTATTCTAAAAATTCAGATTCCCTGGATTCCCCTCAAATTAGACTCATCATAGAGGGCCTAGGACTCTTGCAAAATAGAAAATTCTCCCGGTGATTCTGTGCAGAAGCAGGGCTGGGAACTCCTCCATACCACAGAGAGGTAAAGGAAACTGGCAGAAGGCAGGTGTCAGGACTCCCCTTTTTCCTTCTGAGGGTGGTAGCTGGAGTTTATGACTATCCAGAGAGAGAGCACAAGGGAGACAGGTGCCCCCACAACCTACTCCATTTGGGGTCTGATGGTATTCCCTGTTCCCTCCCAGGTCCTTTTTGGGGAGCAGGTGGTAAGAGAAAGGGGTATCATTTCCCTGACCCCTCTCTCTCCTCCACTCCCTTTCCCAAGCAGTCTCCTTCTTTGGCTGGAGGAAGTAGAGTGGGCTGTGGGACTGGCTGAGCTCACATCCTCTGCTTGAGAACCTGAATCAAGAGCAACTCTTCCACCCCTAGAAGCAGGCCCAGGAAGAAGTTGTTCCTTAGCGGAAGTTCCTGGAACTACCACCAGGAACCAGGACCCTCCACCCTTCTGCCAAGGTCCCCAGCCCAGTCACTCTGAACTTCTCCCCTACCGCCTTTCCGGCCATTGTTCTGGAAATAACGGAGCCGCCCAGGCCTGTGCCTGTTCCTGTGCTTCCCTAGAGGGGCTGCATCCCACCACCAGCTGCCCCGTCCCAAACTGTCCAGGCTGGTGGAAAGGTGGGCAGGATGAAGGATTTTCTGAGTCTTCACCCCTGCTGACCTTATCTTTCAAGCTTAAGAGAGGTACCATGACTGGCCAAGGTCACACAGCCAGAAAGGCAGAGTGAACATCTGAACCCTGCTTCTAGGGCCCCTGTTCTTTCAACTGCCCCAAATGGTTCTGTGTGACAAGGACTTCCCAAGGAGGCTAGAGAGAAACTGGGAGTTTTATGTTTCTTCCCAGTGGCTTCAACACCATCAGCTGATCTGTCCCTCCTTAGCTCTGTATTTGCCTTTTAGGTGTAGCGTCCTTCAGTTCAACTCTAAGTGTAGCTGTCCTCTCCTCCCTATCACATGCTCCCCATTGTGGGTTTGGTCCCTCCCTACTGGAATGAGGCCCTGTCTTGCCCAGGCTACCGGGATATTCAGGGGCCCACCAGAGCCGGGGGGCAGGCCTGGACCAGCATGCTTGGCACTGTGCCTAGCCTGAGTTGAGCCTGGCCGCCTCCTTCCCAGCAGGGGTGGGTTCCAGCGGGAAGCAGGGACCGCTGTGACAGGCCTTCTCTTTCCCTCCCCATGGCTTCAAGGACCACCCCACCAGTGCCCTAGCTCATGCAGGGAGCTTACCTGCATAAACCCTGCCCAACAGGGGTGTCACCAGTCAGCAGAAAACTCCTGCCAAAAGCATGGACAGCTCAGCCAACAGCCTATGGGTGCAGTCAGCAGTTATTCCCCAGGCAGGCCAAGAACCCACTGAGATCCAGAGATCCAGGGGGACAGTGAGGGGAATGCACCAGCTTTTGCCAGAAGGATAACACCATGATAGTACTGGCCAGCACATAAGGAGGGCTAGATAGGACAGCTCCCATCTTTGCATGCTGACAAGGTTGAGGACTATACTCATAGCTGCTATGGGCAGGTTCTGTCATCAACCCATTTTACAGATGAGGACGTTAAGCCTGAAAAATTAATTTTTTGTTTGTTTTTTTGAGATAGTCTCACTTTGTCGCCCTTGATAGAGTGCCATGGTGTCATAGCTCACAGCAACTTCAAACTCTTGGGTTCAAGCCCTTCTCTTGTCTCAGCCTCCTGAGTAGCAGGGACTACAGGTGCCCACAACAATGGCTATTTAAATTTTAGAGACAAGAGTCTTGCTTTTGCTCAGGCTGGTCTCGAATCATGAGCTCAGGCAATCCACCCACCTCAGCCTCCCAGAGTGCTAGGATTACTAACCTTGAAAAGTTAAATGACTCACCCAAGGCCACACAGCTGGCACCTAGCAGAGCCGGGATGAGGTATAAGTCTTTCTGATGCCACCTTCCCCACCATACTCCACTCAGGGATGCCTCAGGGCTGGCACTGTGGCTCTTCGGCCGGCATAAGTCCTCCTCTTGAATACCTAGTGCCCCTTCCTCTCTCTTTACCTCCCTGGTCCCAGTAGGACAATGTGACTTGCTCCCTGGCACAGTCAGGCAGGAATGCTAACCATGCGCTCCGTGGGCCTGTCCATTGAGGGTACATCATGCCAATACCCCGTCCTGCCCCCTGTGGCTCTATAAACAAGCAGGGCTAGGAAGCCAGGCTACTGCTGCAGCAGCTTCCTGCTCAAGCTGACAGGCCACTGGGCCAGGGTAGGGAGCCACAGGGACAGGACCGGTTAAAGGCCATGGGGCAGGTGTTTTCCTGCACACCAAGAGGTCAGCAGGCTTTGAGAGGTGAGGGGAGGGAATACTGGGTGAGGAGAGGTCACCTGATGTGCCTGTTACCTCCTGCCCTGACCTCCAGAGCTCCTGGGCTCCACAAAGAGGCTCAACGTCAATTACCAGGACTCCGATGGGTGAGTAGAGCCCTGGGAAGGACGAAAGGGAAATGGCCTGAGGCCCAGAGCCCCTTCTCTCAGACTTGGCCCTGAAGTATATTTGCAGAGAGCTCTGGGTCGTACCTGGGTAGGGCCAGCTGAAGGGGGTCCTGCCCATCCTCCTGCCTATGGAGTAACCCTGAGTAAAGCCTACTTGGGTCAGATTCCTGCTGGGCCCCTTTTCTCCCTGGAGGGTAGAAGCCCTCAGGCTCCTGCTCCCACATTCCCCTCCCCTGGGCTGGCTGGGGGGGAGGCCAGACAAACAGGCCTCTCAGCCTAGACACTGAGCCCTTTCATGCTGTGGCCCGGCTGCTGCGCTCCCACGGCAGGGTTGGCAGCGGTGGGGAGGGGGGCAAGTAACCCATCCCTGCCAGCCCCCAGGATGGGTTTGGGTGTGGAAGACCAGGGTTTGGGGGTAGGGGACTGCTCACTGATAACCCCCTACTTTGTGTTCTCCATACCAGATTCTCTGCTCTCCATCATGCTGCCTTGGGGGGAAGCCTAGAACTCATAGCTTTGCTGCTAGAGGCTCAGGCCACCGTTGACATCAAGGACAGCAATGGTGAGACTTCAGTAAGCCGCTGCCTGGGCAGGTAGAGACCCTGCCCAGACCTTATGATCAGAGCTCACTCCTGTTAGGAGGTAGCGGTGCAGCCAGATGTCTGTGCAGCTTCTCTGGGCTTGGCACGTTGCTTTTCCCTCTTTAATATTCACAGTCTTCTAGGACAGGGGGAGTACTGATGTCCCATTATTTAGAAGCAGAGGTGAAGGCTCAGACAGGTTACATCGCTGTCCTGGTCACCAGATCATTTGCGGTGGGCACAGAGGGACCCTGGCTTCAGCCCTGTACAGCAGGCCTTTTCCTGACCACACCCAGGCGAGGCTGGAGTCACAGCCCCTTGGGCTATCTGCACTCCCAGCTACAGTGGCTTTGTGCTCTGCTTATCCCCCCTTCACTGCTATCCCAGGACCTCCTTCAGAAAGCCCTTCCTCCTCCAGGCATGCGCCCACTGCACTACGCAGCCTGGCAGGGCCGGCTGGAGCCTGTGCGATTATTGCTGCGGGCCTCTGCAGCTGTCAATGCAGCGTCGATGGATGGGCAGATTCCTCTGCACCTGGCTGCACAGTATGGACACTATGAGGTGGTACGTGAGCCTGCCCCTGGGGACTAGGGGTGGGTGCCAGCCAGGCCAGGCCCTCACTTAGCTCCCCCCACCCCAGTCAGAAATGCTCCTCCAGCATCAGTCCAACCCATGCCTGGTTAACAAGGCCAAGAAGACGCCTCTGGACCTGGCCTGTGAATTTGGGCGGCTCAAGGTGAGGCCTACAGCCCTCAGGGTGCTGGGTCCTGGACATCTGTGGAGTCTCAGGGGGTAGCTCTAATGGGTGCTGGATACTGCAGGTGGCCCAGCTGCTACTGAATAGCCACTTATGTGTGGCACTGCTGGAGGGTGAGGCCAAGGACCCTTGTGACCCTAACTACACCACACCCCTGCACTTGGCTGCCAAGAATGGCCACAGAGAAGTCATCAGGTACTTCCGGAGTTTCCCTACTTCCTCAACCCCTTCTGGGGGAGCATCGGTGCCCCTTGGTGCCTTCTCCTGCTGCCCTTGCTCTCGGTCCTCCAACCCCCTAACTCCCAGAAGGTGGCTTCCCATCCTGCCTCCAGCCCCCATGACCCCATCTCCTACCACAGGCAGCTCTTGAGAGCTGGGATTGAGATCAACCGCCAGACCAAGACAGGCACGGCTCTCCATGAGGCCGCACTGTATGGCAAGACTGAGGTGGTGCGGCTGCTCCTGGAGGTGGGTATGAGCACCTTATCACCTCACAGGTGTACACAGAGCCTCTGCTGTGTGCTCAAACCAGCTGGGGAGGTAGAGGAGGGAGGACTCCACCACTCATACGGTTTTGTATGGGTGTTCAGAGAAGGGGCCTGACTTCCTTTGGGATGGTGCCAAGGCCAGGTGGCTTAGGAGCAGACCAGCCTGGTTCCAACTCCAAATTTGCCTTTAATTAGCTGAAGGACCTGGAGCTCATCCTTGGGCTTTCATTTTCTTATTTTTTAAATTGGGAAATGATAATAATACCCACCTTCCTGGGTAGTGGAGAAATGATAGGCCAAGTGCTTAGCACATGCTTAGGCGACACTGTACACCCAGGGAGGTGTGGATGTGAACATCCGGAACACATACAACCAGACAGCACTGGACATCGTCAATCAGTTCACCACCTCCCAGGCCAGCCGGGAAATCAAGCAGCTACTACGGGGTGAGTACAGGGAAGGATATCCCACCCAGGGGCCCTGAGCCACTTTAGTAGGTACCAGGATGTGGAGGGGAGCAGACGTCTCTGGGAGAGGTTTGGGTAGAGGACCCTTAGATGACACCTGCCCACCCTTCTCTTAGAGGCCTCAGGGATCCTGAAGGTGCGAGCGCTCAAGGATTTCTGGAACCTCCATGATCCCACTGCTCTCAATGTCCGGGCAGGGGATGTCATCACGGTGAGGGACCCCACGTAGGCTTTCCTTTGCCAGTACAAACCATTATTGTTACTTATTTGGATACCTATTGCTCTGTTACCAGACTCTGGGCTAGGGTTGTTGTATGCACTCTGATTTAATTCTTTCCAAATCCAGAGAAGTTAGGTTGCCATTTCTTTTTTAAAGATAAGAGATAACAATATTGAGAAATTAAACTGAAATTACAGAAATCAAACTGACTTGCCCAAGGTCACATGGCTGGCAAATAGTAGAGCTGGGATTTGACAACAGGCTGCCGCCGGGTCCTGTGTTTATGTGCCCTGGAGTCATGCTAGGGACTGCTGGGGACTGGCAGCAGGGGCAGAACTTGAGCTGGTTGGGCATCAGAGACCAGCTCCTTGGTGTCACTGGAGAGCTGCCTCAGGGCTGCTGGACTATGGCTTCAAAGACAGCCGCTTGCTACTTGCTTGGTGCTGGGAGTAACCATCCCCTCCCCTACCTGCTACAGGTGCTTGAGCAACATCCTGATGGCCGCTGGAAGGGCCACATCCATGAGAGCCAAAGGGGCACGGACCGTGTGGGCTACTTTCCCCCAGGCATCGTTGAGGTGGTCAGCAAGCGAGTGGGCATCCCCATGCCCCGCCTCCCCGCTGTGCCCACCCCACTGCGTCCAGGCTTCTCCCGGACACTGCAGCCTCCTGCCGAAGACCCCCTGCACCCTCTTACCTATGGCCAGCTCCCTCGGATGGGCCTCAGCCCAGACAGCCCAGGTACATCCTCCCAGAGGGCAGCACTGGGTTCTGGTGTGGGTGTCAGGCTTGGGTAAGCTGCCAGTCAGCTGTTGGCAGTGCCACTTGGGACTCTGACCCCTTTGCTTCTGCCCCCTGTAGCAGGTGACAGGAATAGCGTGGGCAGCGAGGGCAGTGTGGGCAGCATCCGTAGCGCCGGCAGCGGGCAGAGCTCTGAGGGCACCAACGGCCACAGCACTGGCCTCCTGATTGAGAATGCCCAGGTAGGAAGTGGGGGGGCATTGTTCAGGGCAGGGCTCACCCCCACAGTGCCAGTTCCCTAAATTCTGAGTTGCGTCCTTCCCTTTTTCTAGCCACTGCCCTCAGCTGGAGAAGACCAGGCACTCTCAGGACTGCAGCCGCCATCCCTGGCAGGTAGGAAGGGTAACTGGGACCTGGGCTGGACAGGAGAGGTGCAAGTGGGGAGGCCAAGGGCTTGGCACCCCTTCCTCTTGCCACTTCTGATTCTTTTTCTCTCCCTCCTTGAAGATAACCTGAGCCACTGCCCTCTGGCCAACTACCGCTCTGGGGAGCAGATCTTCACCCAGGATGTGAGACCGGAACAGCTGCTGGAGGGAAAGGTGTGACCTCCTCGGGGAGTGCACTGTGGGCCTCAGGGAAGACAAGAGGGCCTTGGTGTGGACTTAAGTCCCTGGGGGAGGCAGGGGCTTTGGCTCGGCTCCTTCTGATCCTGCCTCCTTCCCTCCCCCCAGGATGCTCAGGCCATTCATAACTGGCTGAGCGAGTTCCAGCTGGAGGGCTATACTACCCACTTTCTGCAGGCTGGCTATGATGTGCCAACCATCAGTCGCATGACACCAGAGGTAGGTGCCACACGGGGCGGGGGAGGGGGGGAGGGGAATGCCCAACAGGAGGAGAGGAGAGGCCTGATGGCCAGACTCTGTGTGGCAGGACCTGACAGCCATTGGGGTGACCAAGCCTGGGCACAGAAAGAAGATTGCCTCGGAGATCGCTCAGCTCAGCATCGCCGAGTGGCTGCCCAGCTACATCCCAGTGAGTGGGTAGCGGGTGTTGGGCATGGGCTCTAGCCCTCAGCTGCAGCTGTGTGGTGCCTTTTCCTTTCTGGCCTGGGGGCAGAGGCTGGCAGGAAGCCAATTCTCACCCTGGCTCTCTTCCAGGCGGACTTGCTGGAGTGGTTGTGTGCGCTGGGGCTGCCGCAGTATCACAAACAGCTGGTGAGCAGCGGCTATGACTCCATGGAGCTAGTAGCCGACCTCACCTGGGAGGAGCTGCAGGAGATTGGTGTCAACAAACTCGGTGAGGCTGCTTGGAGGCCTTCTGGTTGGGTGTCACGTGTCTTTGGGGTTCTCCAAAAGAAGAGAGACTAGAATCAAGTGGTGACTGGTGTGATGCTTCCCAGGCCCACCTAACCTTGCTGCTTCCATCCACCTCTCAGGGCATCAGAAGAAGCTCATGCTGGGGGTCAAGCGGCTGGCAGAGCTTCGGCGTGGCTTGCTACAGGGGGAGGCCCTAGGCGAAGGCGGGAGCCGGCTGGCCAGGGGTCCAGAGCTGATGGCCATTGAGGGGCTGGAGAATGGGGAGGCTCCAGCTGCGGCTGGCCCACGACTCCTCACTTTTCAGGGCAGTGAGCTGAGCCCAGAGCTGCAAGCAGCCATGGCAGGCGGTGGCCCTGAGCCACTCTCGCTGCCCCCTGCCCGCTCCCCCAGCCAGGAAAGCATTGGGGCACGCTCACGGGGGTCTGGTCACTCACAGGAACAGCCTGCTCCCCAGCCCAGTGGTGGAGACCCCAGCACCCCACAAGAGAGAAACCTTCCAGAGGGCACAGAACGGCCCCCCAAGCTTTGTTCCCCACTTCCAGGCCAAGGACCCACCCCTTATGTTTTTATGTACCCCCAGGGCTCACCCTCCAGCCTGGCCCCAGGGCCACCTCCTGGTGCACCCCGGGCCTTCTCCTACTTGGCTGGCCCCCCTGTCACCCCTCCGGACCCGCCTCGGCCCAAACGCCGGTCCCACAGCCTGAGCCGATCAGGTCCCACTGAAGGGGAAGCTGAGGGAGAGGCTGAAGGGCCAGTTTGCAGCACCTTGGGCAATTACGCTACCCTTACCCGGAGACCAGGACGCAGTGCCCTACCCCGGACCAGTCCCAGCCCAACCCCAACTCGAGGGGCTCCCCGCAGCCAGTCCTTTGCCCTTCGGGCCCGACGCAAAGGCCCCCCACCCCCACCCCCTAAGCGCCTCAGCTCTGTCTCTGGACCCACCCCAGAGCCATCTCCACTTGATGGGAGCCCAGGACCCAAGGAGGGGGCCACAGGGCCCCGGAGGCGAACACTGAGTGAACCAACTGGCCCCTCCCAGTCCCCTGCCCCACCTGCCCCCGCTGGCCCTGTGTCAGACACAGAGGAAGATGAGGAGCCATGCCCTGAGGGGACGCCCCCATCTCGGGGAAGCTCAGGGGAAGGGCTGCCGTTTGCAGAGGAGGGGAACCTGACCATCAAACAGCGGCCAAAACCAGCTGGGCCCCCACCCCGGGAGTCATCCATGCCCCCTGGCCTTCATTTCAACCTCACAGAGTCAGACACTGTCAAGCGCAGGCCCAAGTGCCGGGAGAGAGAGCCACTGCAGACGGCACTGCTGGCCTTTGGAGTGGCTAGTGCCACACCTGGCCTCTCTGCCTCCTTGGCCTCCCAGACTCCCAGTGAGTCCTCTTCTGCTTCTCCCAGCCCTCCCCAGAATAAGCCCAGCAGCCTTGCCCCTCAAGGAGTTGTGGGCCCCCATCCTCCCAGCCCCACAGTGCAACCCCCTGTGCCCCTGGCAGCCCCTTGCCCTGGGCCAGGTCTGGAAAACTCAGCAGGAAATCATCAGAATGGGGAGATGGAGCCCCCAGCTGCTCCTGCTGCCCTCATCAAGGTGCCTGGCACAGGTGAGGGCCAAGGCCTGCAGGGAGAGGATATCGTTTGCAGGGTTAGGTCCAGCCCAACAGAGTCCCAAGCTGACCTTTTTGTCTCTGCAGGAACAGCCCCCAAGCCTGTGTCTGTGGCCTGCACCCAGCTGGCATTTTCTGGCCCTAAATTGGCTCCCCGGCTTGGCCCCCGCCCAGTGCCTCCTCCAAGACCTGAGAGCACTGGGGCTGTGGGCCCAGGCCGGGCCCAGCAGAGACTGGAGCAGACGAGCTCATCCCTGGCAGCTGCACTGAGAGCCGCAGAGAAGAGCATCAGCGCTGAGGAGCGAGATGGGTAGGGAGCTGGGGCAGAGGGGTGGGGGAGCAGGATGGAAGGAGCAACCGGCAAGGCTCCTGGGGATGTTGGAGGAAACACTGTAGGCACAGCCTTGGGCTGGGGAGGCCACTGATGGGAAGAGAGGACCCCAGGTGCATAAGTCACCCAATTTTGACCTTCAGGAAATCCTGGATCCTGGTAACTGCCATTTAGAGGCATGTGAGCTCATCTGTAACGAAGGGACAGTAACTCGGGGTGGGGGGGGTGAAAGCAAGAGAAGGTGTACAAATTGTTTGGCACTAGCACAGGGGCTTGGTGACAGCTTCCCTCCCCTGGACCAGTGTGGTACAGGCCCCAGGCTGATTTGACTGGATTTTTCCCCTACTGCAGCACTCCCAGCACCTGCACCAAGCACATCCTGGATGACATCAGCACCATGTTCGATGCCCTGGCCGACCAGCTGGACGCCATGCTGGACTAAGCTGGACGTACCTGCAGCCCTTTGGCAGTACCCACTGCCCTTGCTCTAGAACAGAAGCAGCCCCTGCCACCTAGGGACAGGCAGGCAGCTGGTCAGGCTGGAGCGCCCCTCCCTAGCAGTGCCCCTTCCTGTTGCTCCAAGACAGTGGCTGTCAGCACAACTTTTGTGGGGCAGCCCCTGTACCAGGGGCTGAGGGGACTCTGCTGCACCTCAGCAAAGCCCCCCCCTCCCAGTGTGAGATCTGACCTACAGTCCTGCCTCCTAGATAGGGACCCTGGTAAGGGCTTTTTCCTCAGGGAGGAGGAAGGGCTGACAGGGCTTCTGGGGTGGTTTCCCTGTGCTCCAACCTGTGTATCAAGTTCCTGTGCCAAGGGAATGCCTCTCACTACCCACTGTGCTGTCCTGGGCTAAGAGGCCAGAGGAGGCAATGTCCGACTGGGCCTGCTCTCTGCAGGTGTACATAGGACCTATAAATAGGTGCCAGGGGCATGCGCTCTGCATGTACCTAGACCAGCTCCTGCTCCTGCCTTCCCTTGCTGTAAGGCAGAGGCAGCAGTGGGATTAACAGATCCCAAAAGTCCAAACTTTTTCAATTGTAAATGTTATTTTCTAAGCAGAGAGAAATGCATATATTTTAAATGGAATTTATTCTATCTATTAACTGCCTGAAAGGGCACAGTGGGGGAGGGGCTTCAGACCACAGCAGGAGTGCCCACTGCCCACCTCAGGGCTAGAAGCCTGACCTGGTTGGCACAGGCACCAGCTCTGTAACCATTAACCTCTTCCTCCAACTAACACCAATGAAAGTGTCATTCCGCATGACTCGCCTGTGTTTGCATCAGTAACAACAACCTGGGGGGGGGGGGGGGGGGGGGGGGGGGGGGGGGGGGGGGGGGGGGGGGGGGGGGGGGGGGGGGGGGGGGGGGGGGGGGGGGGGGGGGGGCGGGCGGGGGGGGGTCTCACCTAAGCCAAACTGAAGGGGCATCCACCCACATGGTGGAAGGATGAAGGCCTGGGCCCTCCTCTCCTCACCTCAAGTGCTCCCCTTGTCAGCTGCAGCCTCAAGTGGGTAGACCCCTTAGTGGCTGGCTCATGAACCAGCCACAGGTTTTTCTTAAGCCATTTACAAGTTTTAATACAAATCAGTCTATAGTCACTCCTCAAAGGCTCATTTCCAATAGAAAATATTCACCAGTAGAAACTTCTCATAGAACTGGGGCAGGGGCTGAGGAGACCTGGGCCAGATTACTCAAGACTGACTCATGCCAGCTTGAGCCAGGAACAGGGAGAGGCTCCAGGATGAGTGGGGGAGCCCTGCCCCATCTTCAGGTACAGGTATGAGATGCCACCAGAGGCAGGGAGGGAGCCACCTCCACGCCCCTGCCTCCAGGAGATGGCACCACCACCCCTGCCCACAGCCACTGGCCTTGAGTTCACATCTCCCATGGCCTCTGCTGTCTTGCCTCCAAAAGAGGTTTGGTTTAAGGCCATGTCCATAGATCCAAGAAGAGAGGGCACACTGTGTTAGGGGACCCTGAAGGGGACAGCCCACAAGTAAGAGGGTTGATGGCCCCTCTACTTAAGCGCCTGAGGTCATACATTCGAGTGCCCCCTGGTGAGGCCCAGGGGAGAGCCAGGGCTGGTGGAGGCCCTGCTCAGTTCCACCACAGTGAGCCGGCAGTCAGGAAGACAGTGCGTCTGACACCGGGCTGGGCTTCCAGTGCCATGGGGCCCAAGAGCAAACCCAGAAACATTCATGATACCAACTGTCCAGACTCAGAAACAGGTCTAGCTTTAGCCTCAGGGACCAGGGTAACTATGGTCACTGTGGCCAGTGGCTCAGAAGGGAGAGTTCATGCCCAGCTTGGTTTCAAACTGCAGCTTCTGTCGCTTCTGGTAGCGGACACGGACCCTGATGGGGCAAGAGATTAAAGTACAGGTTGGCAAAGACCCTTAGGCCAGGGGCCAGGGCAGGACACCAGAGCAGCAGGGGAATGCCAACAAGGGGTGGCAGGTTTCAAAACACACTGAGCACAGTGGGAGGCGCCCTGCTGGCAACTCACCGAATCTCGTGCAGCTTTACAATCTCATTAGTGACCACCACAAGGACCAGGGACAGGCATCCCAGGAGCCAGGTCACCAGAGGCACATCTTCCAGGCCAAAGTGGATGCGACTGTCCCTGTGTGTCCACAGCTGCAGGTCCACAGCTGTCTGAACCACCTGACCCAGTAGCCTGTAGGAGGAGGTGGCAGCCCAAGTGAACCCCAAGTTGTCTTTCCCTGCTTCCCTCACTACCACAGTAGCTCAAAGAGGGCACAGTCAAACCTCTGGCCCCCATCACACCCTGCTATCCTAGCCCTGCGTTCACCCCTCTCCCAGCCCCATACCCTGACCCCCACTGAGTGATACTCACACCACAGGCACCGTCATGGCCCACCAGAGGTTGGTCAAGGGGCTCTTTCTCCACAGGGGCTTGGTGCGATGCACGTGGGTGATGGAAATGAAGACTGGGGAAAATGGGTGATGGGGATATAAGTATCACTGGTCCATGGCTTCCCCTGCCCATGGGGTCCCCCCTACCATCATCAGCTTTCAGCACCCCTTACCAGTGTGCAGGACAATCAGGGCAGCAGTGAGCTTTTGAGCCAACAGGAGGCCATTGGCAAAGTCCCCAAACCAGGCTGGAGCCCTTTCATCATCACTGCCAAAGCAAGGTGTAGGTTCAGCCCCTCTGGGGCCACAGGGAAGTGGGTTGGGGAGAGGAAGGGGGATCCCTGGTCACAGGCCCCACCTGCGCAGCATGATGGAGGAGCAGCTGGTGAGGTTGCTGGTTCGGGAGCTGTTGCAGAAGCTCTGCAGTGTAAAGCCAAAGCAGATGAGGCAGGAGCTGATGGTGAGGCTGAACTTCAGCAAGAAGCAGAGCAGGAAATAGTGCTGGGTCTGCAGGAGAAGGGAGCCTAGTCACCATCCCCGGCTTTTTCATGCATTCAACAGGTTCTTAGTAAATAGTCAGGCTGGAGTCAGGTAGGGAGTGAGGATCTTTCTAACTCTGTCCTCACCATCTCCTCTTTATTTTTTTTTTTTATTTGAGACAAAGTCTCACTCTGCTGTCAGCCTAGCTCACAGCAACCTCAAACTCCTGGGTTCAAGCAACCTGACTCAGCTTCCCAAGTAGCCAAGACTAAAGGTGCCCACCACAACTCCTGGCTAATTTTTCTATTTTTAGTAGAGACAGGGTCTTGCTCTTGCTCAGGCTAGTCTTGAACTCCTAAGCTCAGGGGATCCCCCACTTCTGGCCTTCCAGAATACTGGGAGTACAGGGGTAAGCCACTGCACTCAGCCTCCACCACCTCCTCTTTGTTCTAGGGCAGTGGTTCTCAACCTTTCTAATGCCACGGCCCTTTAGAGAACTGCTGTTCTAGGGGAAGACTAGGAACCAAGTGCTGGCTTTCCAGTTCTGACAGAATCCCCCTTCCTGATCTGTCCAGAGATCTCTTCCAGCTTAGGCCCTTTCCTCTGCCCCAGACCCCTCTCTATACACTCCAATTTCTCCATGACAGGCCCATTCTCACAGGGTCCCCTTTGCTTACCTTCTTAGGAATGGACTGAAGGTTTTTCCCTGTTGCCATAGACATGATGGAGCTATGGGGGGGTTTCCCCAGCAGAGAGATACTGAAAAGCAGAGATCAGGTCAAGGGGTGGTGACTGTGATCCTCTGTCCCCTAATTCTCATAGTAGAACTTTCAGTGAGCTTTGGAAGTTAGATCAGGACTAGTGGGAGGATGGAATACAACCAAGGAAAGGAAGATCCCTCAATGCCTCCTGGACCAGAGGAGGTGAACCCTGAGCAGAACCTGGGACCTTGGGATGAACAGGGATATCTTGACCTCCCCTGCCTGGGCACGGAGGTTTGTGCCCTCTTACCTGAGCAGAGGATAGCAAAAGCAAGACAGCCACAGGATGTCGGTGGTGCTCAAGAGTGGTGGCAGCTGGACTAGGCAAGAAAGAAACTAGGCCAGAAAAGAAGCCCAGAACCACAGTTAGATTGTGGCAAATAGTAAGGCCCAAGGAGCCCCACGGCACCTTGCCCTGTGCCCAGACAGATGCTCACATCCTGCTCAAAGAAGAGCTGGGGCTGAAGAACACTATTCTGCCAATGGGGTCACCTTGAAAATCCCAGGGGGTTCAGGGAGGCTCTGGGGGCCCCTTGGTAGTACTATTCCCCTAGCCAGCCTCAGATTCTCAAATGGCCTTTAGTGAAGGAGCAGGCAGGAGGAGCAATGCCTGTGCTGGCCCCAGCTCACCTGGATGACCACGAGGGTCAATTGGCACTGCAGCAGGAAAAGGAAGCACTTACGGATGCCATAGGTGGCATGCCGAGCCTAGGGACAGAGAGGGACAGATTATGGCCTGGGCCTGCCTGGCTTCCCTCAGGCCTGTAGTTTGTAAACTTCAGCAGGGAACCAGATGTCCCCAACACTCCCTTGAGGTCACAGCAGAAGAGATTAAACTTCCCAGGACAGCTTCACTTAGGGGAGTGGCTGGGGGACCAGACAGTACCTGGGCAGCTACCTCCACACCAGGCTCCTCTCACAGGCCCTGTGGCCCTTGCCTTGCCCTGGCTGGGCCCCCACCTGCTCAATGAGCCGGATGATGCTTATGGTCTCCTCTTGGCGAAAGGTCAGGGAGCAGGGCAGGCTGTTGAGTTGCCCCGACAGCTGCAGGGGAGACAGGCCATCCGAAGACTGGGCCATGCTGGTGCTGGTAGCATAGCCAAAGGTCTCCCAGGAGCAACGGGATGGGTACAGGGGATCCAAGGCAATGCTGTTCAGGGTAAGGGAAAGTACACTCATCAGCTATACTCCGTGGAGACCCCATCTGCCACAGGACTGAGCACCCCATCCCTCTTCTCCCATCACACCTAGAGCCTTGGTCCAGCCAAGGCAAGATCAGTCTGCCCCCAGCCCCATGCAGACCCAGCAGGATCTAGGGGGTAGAGGCTGGCTCACAGGCTCTAGGTCCCCTCTGACCTGACATCGCTCTGGAGGAATAGGCAGCTGTTCCGCAGGTTGGCAGAGCTGCCCAGGCAGCAGGTCACCTCCCCATACTCCTGCATGATCTTTATCATCTCACACATGGCTGAGGGGACAGGTCAAGAGGGCACAGAGTCAGGCAGAAGAGCTTGGTGTGGGTGTTGGGCAGGGACCCATGAGACAGAACAAGAGGCAATGATAAATGGAACAACTCCACCACAATGTAGGGATGACATGGACATTGTCCCTTCTGACCTAGAGTGAGCACACTCAAGGCACCAGCCACTGAGAGTCCCTAGCTGATCCCAGCCTAGACTCTTCCACACCCTGCTCAGGAAGCCTGCACTCCTCTGAAGCCCTCTGCAGCCCACTGTAACACTCACTCTCAGGGGTACAGTCGGTGAAGAGGGGCACCAGCAGGGGTACATTGTCAATGTTCTGCAGGTGGGGCCGCACCTGGTGGATGCCCCGGGGCAGCTTGGCCTGGAGAAAACAGAGATGCCAATGGCCTCAGGATGGGGGCAAGGTCCTTCCCCTTTGCTCCCCTGACCCTCCTCCCACCCTCCCATGGACCAGCTGTGGGGCCACTACAGGAGCACACAGGACAGATCCTGCCACCATACTCTGTTGCAGTCCTCCAGGAAGCTAGGGATGTCACTGTCCGTAGGCTGGAAGCTGATGAGGTCCGAGTGACCCTCCTCCTCCATAAGGAGGAGCCCTTCTGCATCTTCTCGGGACACTGTAAGGACAAAGGCCTGTCCCTCACCTTGGGGCCAGCCTTTGGGGTC